GGGCAGGGGGGGGGGGGGGAGTCTTCCTTTATTTATATGCCCTAGTTATAATGTTCTCAGGCTTTTCTCAATGTATGGCCTATCCAACGACGGCTATTTTCTTCACCACTTGGTCCATTGACACTAGATTCTCTTCCAAAGCTCTACATTAGCGATTCTATCGTACCATTTAATTCCCTCTAATCTGCACAGGCACCAGTTAATGATTGTTTATAGTTTAATTAGTAATTGCCTTACTTGTTCTCAGCCCCATACAACAGTACTGATTTGACATAAGAATTAAAAATTGTAAGTTTAATAAAAGTTTTAATGTGACCTCCACAAATTTCCTATGAATCCTCCTCTTGCCATTTTTATTCGTATTTTAATAACTATTTCAGTTCCCCCCCCCCCCCCCTTTTTTTTCCCCCGTTATCTACATTACTGCCCAAATAGGTGTACGAATCTGCGCCTTGTAGTAGGATGCTCTTCAGAGAAAATACACTACTATTGGCGTAATTTATTCTCATTATCTTTGTCTTTTCGTTGTGGATTTTAAGATCGAACTGTTGTGATCTCGCGTCAAGTATATTTAATTTATCTTGCATCTGATTCTGTGATTGGTACATAAGAGAAATATAATCAACGCAGGCCAGATGATCAAGCTGTTTTGCAAGGGTCCACTGAATTCCGTTCTTAGTGTTAGCAGTTGTTGTTTTCATAAACCAATTTATTGCCCGCAATCATAGGAGAGGCGACAAAAGACATCACTGTCGCACCATTGGCTTTGTTTCAGATATATCTGTCACCAAGAGCTTACCATTTCATATCTCTATATGATGCCTTTACCACGTTAATAATTTTCTGCAGGATTCCATAGTGCCCCATTAATTTTCAGATAAATGCTATATTAATTCTGTTGAAAGCCTTTTCATAACCTATGAATCTAATGTAAAGTGGCGAATTCGGTTCAATGCGTTGTTCTGTTTTAAAACGTAATGTGGCTATCTGGAAGGTACATGATCTGTTTAGTCGAAAACTTGCCTGTGCATCTTTTAGTCTTTCAAAAATAATCCTACCTAATATTGTTTCTTTAACTGACAGCAACATAATTCCTCTGTAGTTTTCACACTATTGTAAATCACTTTTTGTGGTCAGTTTCACAGGATATCATTCTCTCTATTCTGCCGGTATTTCTTCGGTCTCCCAGACTTTACTAAATAACTATTTAGCGATTGCGTAAATTTGTTTTTACTAGCCTTAAATTTCTTTTGGGATACCATTTGGACGTGCAGCCTTTTCTTCTTTCAGAAGATTGACAGCTTTCTTAATTTTCTTTTTTGATGACATCTCACAGTTGATATCCAGTTCCATTCCTAAATCTAGGAGGAACCTCTAAGGCTGGTCAGCTCAGAAATAGGTCACAATACTCAGCCAGTCCGCTCATTAGTCACTTGTTAACAGTGTCACATTACATGACACACAGCCGTTTCATGTGTGAAATGTGATATAAGTCAATCTGACCTCTGTATTAGTATTTGTTTAACATAACAATCACCGAAAGATAAGAGAGAGAGAGAGAGAGAGAGAGAGAGAGAGAGAGAGAGAGAGAGAGAGAGAGAGAGAGAGAGAGAGAGAGAGAGACCTATATACATTTTTGGGCAGGGCACTTGACACTAAAGGCTGATTAAATCCCGCCCACTATTAGATAATATACTGTAGTTTTGTGATATATACCCATATAACATAACTATTTTTTTAGTGCCCTAATTAGTGAAACAATATTTCTTACATCAGTATGACCAATAAATCAAGCGGGGGAAAAAAAACGGAATACTCAAAATAAAAATAATTGGAAAACAGATGCGTGAAATACTTTCTGAATAACTGTGCGGTTTAACTTCAGTAAATCTTGGCCTGGTGGCTACTCTTGGGGAACTGACGTCTGGTATCTACCTGGTTCTTCCTCGCTTACATGTGTTTTTAATTTTTTTTTTTTTCAAGTTTTCTTTTAATACAATGTGTTTGTAATTATTTTTTTTCAAGTTTTCTTTTAATACAATGTGTTTTTAATTTTGTTTTTAAGTTTTGTTTTTGTTTTTAGTGAAGTTAAAAATATATCAGCTGGTTTCATTAATTGATATTTGAAGAAAATTAATAAATTTTATATTGTGTGTGTCTGTGTGGGCTCGCGTGTGTTTGTGGAAACATTATTTCACTAATGGCGTTAAAGATTTCTTTGCATTTAATGCTTAGAGATATTTTCAGCGCAAACAATGTTTCTGTCATCTACAGGATGAATACTTCGCGCTGAAAATAAAGGGATACTCAAAGCAAGGGAGTGTGGGACATTTGTAAAACAGATGCCTGAAACATTTTGATTGAATGTGCCGTTTTGCTCCAGTGAAGCTTAGCCAGGTGGCTACTTTTAGAGAATTAACATTCTCGTATTCACCGGGTTCTTCTTCACAGTACTTCACATTTTTTGAATTTTTATTTTTATTTTTCTTATTCTTTTTTAAAGTGAAGATAAAAATGTATCAGACGGTATTACTAATAAACATTCCAAAAACATTTTTTTTTTTTACAAATGTGTGTGTGTGTGTGTGTGTGTGTGCGTGCGTGCGTGCTTGCGAGCGTGCGTGCTTGCGTGCGTGCGCGCGTCAGTGCGTGCGTGCGTTCTGGCTACATTCTTACTACATGGCTAACCATTTAATCTTCTGTTTCTAAATAAATTTGCTGCATGGTGTTTTTCCTACATTCTGTCTGATAATATAGTTTCTAACTTTGTCTCGGGTGGTTTAATTGGCGGCTTTTCTCAGGCATCTAATTTCTCAGGTGTTAATTTTACGTAGATTACCCTTTGATAATTAAAAACTGTGTGCACGAGGAAGATCAATGGTCGTAGACCACGAGGCAGACCAAGAAGACGATGGTGAGATAAAATCCAGACAGACCTGCAAACACTTGGTGTCACCAACTGGAAAGAGAAGGGCAACCAGAAAGATGAGTTGAGGCGGATGATATCTGCAGCAATGAGCCTCAAGGGCTCGGACTGCTGAAGAAGAAGAAGAAGAAGCGTTTGATAATCTCCAAGTCTGGCACTGGTAGCACAGTGTTAGCATTTGCTACTGCAAACTTTTATTATTGCATATATTTGATACATAGCTTTCATATTGCACTAAATCCTCGTTAAACGAATTCGATTAGGAAGAAAACTAAATTTACGAACAAAATGTAGATCCCGAAGAGATGTTTTATATTATTACGTCCCCGGCTGGCAAAATTTGTTAACACGAACTCGATTTTCCGCACCTTGAAATTCATGTTAACGAGGTTTTACTTATTGTTTCAATCGTGGAATGAAAACAAGATGCTAAGTACACTTATGTATCAACTGATACCTTGATTAAAGCATCCAAACAGGAGCATGAACACCAAGAAACAGGTTATAAACAGCATGTTCATACAAACTGATTGTTGGACATTTGATTATTTGATTGTTGGTTGTTTGATTATTTGATTGCTGGTTACGTTGCTCATTGGTTGAAATCAGACTGATAAATAAACAGAATAACACGAACGAATTTGCATGATCACATACAATGAATTTAAAAAAAAAAGGAGGGGGGGGGGAACAACACTCACTAATATAATGACTTTCTTCAGATTCCATCTTTTTATTTCGCATGTTAATGCTGTTAAAACTAATAACTATTTCTTTTGGTACTTCACTTCTGTCGATTGTTCAAATCTTTTTATAGGCTAAACAACCATACAACGCGAATTATTAGAACCACGGCTTCTTACTATACAAAAGGTGCTGGTACTCACCATAAGCCCCATTAAAGAAAAGGTGTTTAAAAAAAGTGTACATTACAGTATTTTTTTTTTTAATTATGATGTCTAATAAAAGGTGCCGGTACTGAATACCGTTGTCTATCTCCAGAAAAGAAAAACCTGATCAGAAAAAGTATTTTACAGTTCAGGTTGTCACTACGTCTATTCCGGCTTCGAATGTTCGCATGTCCCCTTCATGTCTAGGACACCGGTGTAGGCTGGTTTGATTTCCATATTCGGCTGTTTTCTGACCGTCAAGGAGATAACACTCTTGGGTATCAGCGAGACATACTCACCAAGATCTCGCCCTATGTTACTGCCCTGCGGATTCTCGTCAACGCTGTGCGGCAATTGCAAGGGAGTATGACATTTATTTCCAGCCTCACTTCCAGATTCGGAATCCTCTTGAGAAACTTTAGTTGTGCATGTTTCAACTTTAATCTCCGGGATACATGAATCAACATTTGCCGGTTTGTCTGTTTCATCCATAACGTCTATACATGCGTTTGCCTGGAGTTTTTGCTTCATTTTTGCCCGATTCAAACTTAGTAAAATTACGCCAGCGTTTGGAAAAGCTTTAACTGACAACGTATCCAAATCTGCCGCGCCTACTTCAGCAAAGTTTCTGAAGACGCGAATTCTTAAAAGATGTTTCTAAAAAGGGCGACGCATTGTCTTCAGGGTCGGAAAACGAATAAGACGGACAACGTCGGTTTGATCTGACCTTGTGTATTCTGCCCACTTCTCGTGACCCTCGAAATCTTTCTTGGTTATAACTTTCCATGCAAGGGTCATGGATACGTTGACCCTTGCACAGTTGAGGCAACACATCCATTAGTTCGGGACAACTGACGCTTACCTGAGGAACATATTTTTGTGCTACCAGATCTCTTATTTTCCGGGTTCCTGTATACGGCTCCTTATTGACGCAACAAAAACTGAAATTATTGGTGGCGTCATCAGCCGAATATCGCCTGCTGGAAAGATGGTTGCCATAAGTTACTGGAAGAGACAAATTCCTAGAATCCTCTTGCACGCAATACGTGTTCTGACTACAGACGTTATTCACATTGTGAACATCATTAACTGGTGCGGCCACCAGCTGTTCAGCGTTTTCTCCGGGTGCAGTAGTATAACTGCTATCATTACTGACATCTGTGTTAGCTTGGCTTTGGAAATCGTTAACAGTTTCCTGGACAATCTACCTGGCGCGATAGGATGCCGATGATACATTTATTGATACCAGAAGCATCATCTTCCCTATAGTGAAAAGTAGAACAAGTGAACTGGCGGTGATATTTTGTTTTATCTCGGCGGCTGTCAGCATTAGATGTTACTCCTAGAACTACCATATCTTTGTAATGTTCTTTGACCCGCGACTGAAGCCCCCCACTGATGTACTGCAGATCAGACTTTCTTGCCTCTGTCTGTAACTCACAATCTAAGGTGTTACACGGAAAATCGCTCTTGTCCGTCATTTCTTGATTATCTTCTTCAGGATTTATCTTTGTTATTTCTGGTTTAGCAAGTTCCACACTTTTCACAGCTCTACGCTGGTCTTCGGAGACTGGTTCATTAACGTCGTCCTGTGTCCAATACTTTCTAACACGGCGCATGAAAGTTACCAATGATTTTCTGGCGTGCTGTAAGAAACTGCCGGATTTCAGTAAGGGTTGGGTCGTTTCGGCATAGACCCTTGATCCGTTAGTAACTTCTGCCAGTATTGCAGTGTCAGTATTCTTCTCTGTGAAAGAGAAAGCAAAACCCGATGCAACCGGTTTCTTTCGAAAAATTAGAATAGTGCAGGTATTAAATGTTAGTGGCATGATTGTTCATTATATGATTGTAATTTTAATTGACTCCCAAAGTGTGTTAACTCTTTAGGTACCAGACGATTTCTTAGTATGCTACACGTAGCAATAGCCACAATGAGATAAAAATGTGATGACGGTCACAGATATAGCAACACATATACCTAGCTGGAGCATTCAAAAACGAACACAATTTCCGTAATTTCCTTAAGCTAAGCATCCAGTCACATTGTTGCTTGCTTTTTACACATGAGCAATAGCTAATCACACACGGTGCGTTGGTATGGAGTGATAAGACGTGAAGCCATGTATGCTCCCTACAGAGTGACAAACATCGCTTCAGAGGTCTCGGGTATTAGCATTCCTTGGATATTTTCTCTGAGTGTGCAGGAAAGTTGGGAAAATAAACAAGCAGACAGACTGGTTAGTTCGGCACCAATGAGTTGTAAATGAATGCACGACAAGCTAGATGTGGTCAAGGCCCTTTGGCAGCAAAAGTTCAATGCGGAGGGAGGCATAGATCATTACGGTATGGAGATAATGGTGACGCGAGAAGTGACCTGGGGATCTGGTAGACACTCTACACGCAGTAGAAAGAGAAGTCGGGCATATCATCAAACTGCTGAAGCTGAAATTGGAACTCTTCACTGGCTGCTAAAGATGAGGACGAAAGTGATTATGGGAATGTCCCGTGTACTGCGATGTCAGTTCTTAGCTCAGCATCAACATCAAAGCCATGGTGCATACTGGTTAATGACCCCTTACCAGTCGCGACAGTGCCTTCATTTCAAATCCAGAAAGGACAGGATTATTTTATGAACCAGTACGGCTGTGATTTTAATCCTAGTCTCATACAAAATGGGAAGAAAAGCGTTATTAACACATAGAGCATATTGTGATAGACCCATATCTTTATAGACTAATCTTCAGTAGATCTATGCTGTGGTCACCACCACGACAGCTGCTTTTACTTTACATGAAATTGTATAGCACCCATTATATGTAATAAACAGTAAGCAGTAACAACAAATAGTACATTTTTCGGCTCTCCTTTAAATAACGGTCGCTAGCTGGAAGGCGACGGTCGCTTAGACGGAGTTCACTCCCTTGGTTGCAGTGCAAATACTAAGCTACGGTTGCTTAGGGTTAGGCTAGGCTTAGGGTTTGGGTTTGGGTTAGGGTTAGGGTTAGGGTTTGGGTTAGGGTTAGGGTTTAGGTTAAAAACATGTAACGTCGAGTACTTACCCATAATAACGGCCGCTATATGTGAAAATTGTCTTGTTTTTGATTCGTGACTTGTCCACTCCGCATTTGCACTGCAGCCAAGGGAGTGAACTCCGACTAAGCGACCGTCGCCCTCCAGCTAGCGACCGTTATTTAAAGGAGAGCCCATTTTTCTTACGCAGTCGAAAGTGTAAGCGGCAATTACAGGGATTACGTGCCCGCCTGCTCACTGTTTAAGTAAAACGACCCTTTGCACGCCTTTCTGCATGTTGGATATAAAGGGCTGGACCTGTAGTTTATAGACCAATCGGCACTCGGTGGATGATGTGGTCAGCATCATGCCGGCCGAATTTACTTCCCGTGACTCCACCCTGGTACTCCTTCAAGACTGGGTCTACCTCGAAGTCAAGGTATTTTTTTTAAATGTCCGGTATCGCAGGACCTGACCCCACGACCTTTTGATCGGCAGGCAAGCGTCTAGCCGCTACGTCACAGCGTCTCCCCGCCACTGGTTAACGCCATGAATACTTCTCGCCAATAAAGACTAACAAAAGCAAACCTGATTGGGGTGTGACGTCAGTGTTGACAACCGTGTGGTCAGATTTGCGCGGGAGGACGCTAGCGCTGCTACTGTCCTCATTCCTGGGCCAGCTGCCGCGAGCAGGTTGCATAGAATGGGTGCGGTGTTTGACGTTTTGTAACAGGTCACGTGCAAGCTGTGAATAATTTCAGTGAAAAAGTTATAGTACTCATTGGTGTGCCTACTGCTATTAGAGGTTGGCAACGGTGGCTATGTACAATCGCTGCCGACTTCGGAATTGTTACTCGGCGAGGCTCCAATCCATTTAACATAGGCTGTAGCACAGCTTTGTCCTTTGAGTATGTCGATGTCACACCCAGGTTCGTCTTTAGTTTTGCTACAGGAGTCGATTGGGAAGATTATAGACTAGGAGAAAGATGGTCGTGTCGATAGTTGTGATGATGATGATGATGATGTCTTGCTAGCTGCATGCTTCACACAAGACTCTGATAATGGGGATGATGATGATGTTGTCTTGCTAGCTGCATGCCTCACACGGGACTCTGATGCTGGTATAATAAAATGTCTGGAAACAACTGTTTCTTGTCTATAATGTCTTTATTGTGATACCCCAGCAATGTCACCAACAACATTAATGATATTCTGAAGGGCGCTGTGTTCTCCCTTTGGCTACATACTCTTTGAGTTCGCGTTGTGTTTTTCATCTCTAGTTACTTTGTTAACTGGTTCTAGTGTCTTTAACTGCCACATGGTTTCTAGTGCTGTTTGGTACTAACGGCTTAATCGTCGACTTAAGCATCTCAATAGTGTTCCTACCTAATGTGTCGCCGTTAATAATGGATCCATGCATCTTGTGTGTCGTCTTTGTAGCTCGGTGTCTTGTTTCATGTCTCTTCTCTAGTGTCTGTCTTCGAGGCTCCATGCGACTAGCTTCTCTCTTTCTAGTGTTGATTTGGCATCTCTACAACTGAAAGTGCTCTCTGAGACTAGTCGCTCGTCCTCTGAGTCTCAACAGCTGAATGTTTTCTTTGAGGGTAAATATTACTAGTCCCTCCACTTTTTAAGTCTTTTTGACTGAAAACTGCTTAAGTGGATTCTTACCCATTATTTATACTTGGACGCTGGAATGCTAGTTATTTATTTTCTTCTCACTTTTTCTGCTTTTCGAATATTCTAGTAAGTCTCAACATGTTTACTGTGTGCGTTCTCACGTGGGATTTTCTAATTATATCTCAATTGCATCAGATTTCATCATCTTATTCTGCTCAAATATAATCATTAATTTGACAGCTGACGTGATAGGGACTCCTAAAAAAAACAAGTG